GAGGTGGAGGTGGACTAGGTTGTTGCAACCGTCCACTTCTGGTGAGAACCTTGACCTCAAGGTCTCCCCAAACATCTTCACTTGTGCCAAGAGATGAACAGTCTATATCTTTGAGATAGACATATTCATCGTCACTATCCCAAATTCCATTTACTTCTTCATAGTTCGAGATAAATACAACTTCTGGCAGAGGTACATTCACAGGTTGAATTAGTATTGACGGATCAAAGGAGACTTCATCTCCCATGATAGCCAAAGCATCAGAAAGAGGACATGTTTGAATGTTAGGCTTCTTGCCCCCTGGAGGGACAGGAAGTTTATTAGCATCAATCAGGTCTTGGATCGCATCCTTCAACCTCCAACACTTCTCAGTAGTATGACCCTTGCCTTGATGAAACTTGCAATGAACATTGGGGTCATAGCTAGCAGTTCTGTTCTTTGGTCGAGGTTCTGGAAAAGGTCCAATTGGCATAATCAGTCCTTAACTATGCAAGCGATCGAAAGCAACATCATAAGTCATTCCCAAAGGCGTGTAAACCCTCCTTTTCCTTTGGAATCTCTAAGGGGGGGGGGCATTAAGAGCCAGCACATCATTGATATTGATGTTGTTGGTAGCATTATTGGGCTTGGAAGACGAAGAAGAAGGAGTGTCGTTCTTCTTGTTTTTCCAAGTGCTGTTGTTATTATTGTTGCTACCAGCAGTCTTCATCAGTTCATCTTCGATATTGATTCCAATATCGTATACAACTTCGAATGTACTCAAAGGCAGAAACTTCAAATGTTTTTTGTACTTATGAGTCAAATTGGCAATAAACAAGCAAACCATCACTTTTTCCTTGGGAGGATCCACCAAGAGCACAGCTGTTGCCCTCCACCTGCTTAGGGAAGTAGTGAAGCCTTCATTCTCCTTCTGTTTGAGAATGGAGAGTTCACGTTCAGAAGTCTTGGCCTGGATGTTACATTTGTAACAATTCATGAAGCTTTCAGTAACGTCCTCCCAGGCCGCAACATGTTTGGATTCCAGATAGTAGAACATTGTTGACAGGCATGCTTCAAGGAAAGAGGGAACACAGTAGGGAAGAGTGTCACATCTACTCCCTTAAGAGCCATGGTCGCAGAAAAGGCCTTCAAGTGGAAAAGCGGATTATCAAGTATGCTTGAACTTGGGAATATCAGCAGTGGAAAACTTCTCAGGAAGTTTGTCCCTTATGGACGAAGAGGTGACAGGTTGTTCCACAGAAGTGAACTCTTCAGAGATCTTACTCATATGTTCCTTAATCTTGTCCATTGCAGCAGCAGTGACATTTTTTTTGTTGAGGTATTGACTCGAACCATAACAATCTACCCCTGCTTCTTGACCAAGTGTTGTGACACCGAAACAAACACACCTTTAATGACCAAACTTAACCTTAACCTATCCGGAAATAATTAAAAAAAAAAAACTATTTTGAAATTTGAAATTCACTTTTTTTTATTTTTTATTTTTTTTAAAAAAGTATATGGGAGGATACCATCCGACTTACTCCGAAAAAAAACGACACAAGACTACCCTAAAATACGGTCATGAAATGGTGCACGATTAAAAGTGTGTGAACACGACATGTGAGTGATTAAGTGAAGGTTATGGACACGCGTTATGACCGCACAGCTAGACTGGACACCAAACCAGACATACGAACCCATAAGCATGCACGAAGACTAAAAAAAGCTAACTGGACAAACCTCCTAGGCACCGTGTCACAGTGCTGACTGTTGTGACACGGTACAGAGCACCGTCAGAAGGGGCAATGCACCGTGCCACGGCACTGCACACCGTGGCGCGGCAGACCTGCCGTGACACGGTGCGCAATTCCAGGCCTAAATTTGTGTATTTTCCAAATTTTAACCAATTTTAGTCCGTACTAATTAATATGTGGAAATAAAAACCCTCGGTCATGGGGTAAACAAAAAGAGCAAATACATGAGGGTTAGCACCAAACAAATCATGTAGCATTTAGTCACGATGATTTAAAAAAAGAGTTTGCAACCTAAGGTCAAGATCTATGTTAAACTATTGGTCAAGCTTTGGGTGTCAAAAGGGTACCATGGTTAAGAGTTTGGACGTGTTAGCAAGGCAGCCTCCTTTGAGGGTGTATGCCAACGGGCGGCTCCGCGAGTTCGTGATGAAATCGAACTCGACTTCATGGTTTGGGTGGATTTAATAACTCGGATGAACCCCTATTGCCATGAGCGTTTTTAGGTTGATAGAGTTTAAATCTCCCGGGGCTAAGACGCATGTAGAACACACACATTTTTTCAGAAAAATCGAAGGAAGTTGATTGTGAGAAGAGAAAACAAGCCACCGGACTGATTTTAGGACTACCGCAACACGGCAGAAATCCCCGTGCCACGGTGCTGCACACCGTCAGATGGTGTACTGCACCGTTACACGGCAGATTCTGCCGTGGCACGACAGTTATAAAATCTGACTGGTGCCCTATTTTCCTCCGTACGCAATCAAGTTATTCAATTTTTCCTACGGGACAGACCTAAATGCGACGTAAAAACGTCTATGCTTATGCAAGAATGCCAAATTAATCACAGGAATATTTTTCAAGAATCTTTCAAGTCTCATCCACTCATCTTAATTAAATATCGATCACTCAAATCGATAAATAACCAAGAACCCTCCCCAGTGGAGTCGCCAAATTGTAGGCGTCGCTCGAAGTGCACCTACGTTAAGGCATGTTGTGAATATGCTTGGCACTCATAGGAAGTGGGAATTGACATAATACGAATAGGGACAAGGAAAGTAGGGAGACGCCAACAAGTTTTTAAGGAACTTGTAAACCATTCACGATCATAAAAAGGCAACCACGATGAGGGACAACGATAGGCAACAACGATTGACCCTTGAAGGTTACACCTCATTCATAATCCATGAGATTACTAACTCCATATGGTTTGGAACCACAAAAGGAAGATCGGGGATGATGGGACGAAGTGAGTCATGAAGTCACATTCGCCCGTATTGGCCTCTACTCGATTCTTATAGTGGAAAACATTCCTGCGATCTCAAAGGCATACAAACAAAATATACAATTCGCTCCAAACCATTATTATGCTAAATTGGTTGAATATTAATGCAACATATAATTCTAAAATATTTGTGATCACTTGATTAAATAACAAGATTAAAAAGGAACCTAAGCCGGTTGTCCAAATTATCTTATTAGGCGTGATTTTCAATTACATATTCCCTTTAACATGCAATATGATCAATAAATATAATGGAATAAACATTAATATTGGAAGCAATTTAACAATAAATCTAACAATAAAATCGTTAGAAAAATAATAGAAATAAGAAGAGCATAATTCTTACTTTGATTCTGTTTGCTTGCAACTATAAAATAATAAACAAATTAGTAACTTCAAGGAAATAATAATAAAACAATAATTAAATTAAATTAAATAGAGTTGATTTGGGGCCAAACCTTCAAACAGTTCTACCTTTCACGCCTTGGCTTAAGGACAGAACCACGAGTAAAGTATGGACTCCTTGGAGTGCTTGAAGAAGGAATTTTGAAAGAAGAAAGGGTAGGCTAGTGTTTAGGCTAGAGCATAGAGGAGAGAAAAATAGAGAAATAATTGATGCCCCGTACATCAGAAATGAGGGGGTATTTATAGAAAAAATGTGCTAAGGGAACACACGGAACCCTAAAAAAATAAAAACCCTAAAAAATTGCACCGCGACACGGCAAAGGGAACCGTGACATGGGAAATTCCACCGTCAGACAGGGAATATTCCCGTGATGCGGTGAACAGTTGCGTGACGCGGGAAATATTTTAGTGTACGGGGAATAAAACGCATGAAGGGTTTACGCGGAAAGGACACGGAAACCCCCGTGTCACAGCAGGTGCCCCGTGTCACGGGGAATCCCACCGTCACGGGGCGACAGATTCCGTGACGTGGGAGTCTGTAGTCCGATTTTTCGTCTAAATTCATTTTTAACCCTAATTTCGTTCAGCATTTTTCTTGCCGATTGATAATTTCGGGCCATTTCTGATTTATCATTATTATTCGGGCTAAAATAAATAATAAATAAAAGGTTTGGGCCATAATAAATAATAAAACAATAAAGGTTTGGGCTGAAATTTTTTTTTTAAAAAAAAAAAAAAAAAAAAAAAAAAAAAAAAAAAAAAAAACTATGCTTTGACTAAACATCATGATTGATCCATGTACTATTCAAAAATTGAATTTAATTAAATACGATTTTTTAAGCACTCTCGGGATTAAATACTGAACCCGACAAATAGTGGCGGTGAAAATTTGTTCATAATCGGGTTTGGTTTTGGAGAGACATTTTTAGGTGTCTACAAGCTGCATTTGATTTGGTTGTTTGTTCTGAATTTGAATCAATTGATTTACCAGGAACCACTTGATATTCTGCATTGTCAATTGCTTCTTCTGCATCGTCTCCATTGTTTGGATTATTGTTATCGTCAAATATTGGTACGAATTCATCTCCAAAACTCTTAGTTTCTTCTTCTTCTATAATCGATCGATTTAAATCGATTTCAAATTCAGTTTCAATTTGCCTCTGTTTTTGTAACAATTCGTGGATGAGATTGCTACAATTTGTGGTATCGAAAGTCGAATTCTCCATAGATGATCGAATTCTCCAATTTGTGCGTTTTTTCACTTTCTCTCTCAATTGATGATCGAATTCTGCAATTTGTGTGTTTGCTCACTTTCTTTGTCCTTAATTGATGATCGAATTCTCCAATTTGTACGCTTTTTCACTTTCTCTCTCCTCAATTGATGATCGAATTCTGCAATTTGTGCGTTCTCACTTTCTTTGGAATTCTCCAATTTGTGCGTTTTCTCACTTTCCCTCTCCTCAATTGATGATCGAATTCTGTGTTTTCTCACTTTCTCTCTCCTCCATTGTTGTTCTGCTTTTTTTTTTTTTTTATTTAGAGGTATGAAATTCCGCAAGTTTTGTTAGTTTTTTTTTTTTAAAAAAAAAAAACAGTAAATGGGTGGCACGTGCAGGGCCCCCCGATTTTCAATAAATATATTGTAAACCGGGGACATGCAAATGGGATTGTTTGAACTACGCACATCTTATAAAGTTACAAATGTAGCTAAACAAACCTCTTAATATTTCCGAAAATTTCCTAAAATAAATAGGAAACACTAAACATGTTAGCTACTAGACAAAATTGGAGTAGGAGTGTAGAATCCGGAGAAAAGAGTAACAAAAAATAAAAATTACATGATGACTTCCTACATCTTTTGCTAAATTACCATCCACTATTTCCCATCAGCAGGACCAGAAAAAATAGAATTTCTGACCGGGCGATGCTTCTTCCATTTGGCTTTAGGTTTAGACATGATCCAAGATGGTACCTCACTCCCAGACTCTAACATAATATTCGCTAAATTGCGCAAATATGGTACATCTACTTCTGTGTAAAAGGTAATGGCTTCTCCTTCTCTCCCAGCTCTACCAGCTCGACCTGTAGAAACAGCACAGAACATTAACTAAAAATCCCAGTTAGACAGAAATGCTTTCCACATAGTTTTTCAATTGGTTTAATCACAGACAAAAATTTATCAGTGATCAATGCCCATGGCATCTAAGATATAGTATACATTCCTGAGAATCAACAACAAACTTAAGTGTTCAAATGACTAATTGCACTATCTCTCCCAGCCTCCCAGGACCAGATCTACCAGTAGAAACATTACAGAACATTAACTTGATAATCCGAGTTAAACGGACATTGCTTCACAAAAATTTGTTTTTCAGCTATGCATTAATACAATCACAGACGAAAATTAATCAGTGACCAATGCCCAAGGCATCTAAAATAATATTCATTCCTGAGAATCAACAAAAAACTTAAATGTTCAAATGACTAATTGCTACACTGATTCTTGAAACCAAAATCAAGCAGAAGGTATTTGTAGTAAATCTAGTGATGACTAAGATCAAAAGGTGTTCCACCATATAGATCCTCAAATTGCTCAACATCTAAAGCAAGCAGAAGCCGATTAACCGGTGGTTTCAACCAGAAATAAGACAGCACAATCACTGAGAGTTTATCAAACAATCAAAGATTAGGGCATATTTTTCAACCAAATTCAGAATATCTTTTTCTTGGAGAAAGAACATTAGGGCATTGCACAGTTCTCCAAAATATAAAACCACAAAATGTTGACTCAGCATACAGAGCAGAATCAAACAACAATCACAAATAACGCACTTATATCTTAGTGAGAGAGATTTAAACATACCAATTCTATGGATGTAAGCAGCAGCTGACTCTGGAAAATCATAATTAATCACACAGTTGAGACCTTTGAAATCCATACCACGAGCAACGACATCAGTGGCAATCAAAACCCAAGTTTTACCAGCCCTGAAATTATCAACAGCATTCTCCCGCTGCACATAATTAAACAAAAAACACAAGATCCATGGAAAAGTGTTTAAAGATTGTTTGCAACAAAAAAAATGTTTCAACCAGAAAAAGGAGAAGCAGACATATCAGTAATTACTGCAAGACAGAATATAATACATAATGAACTTTGATACATATGTCAATGGACCGTTTAAAACCAACATCCACCGTTAACAGATTCAACCTTCTTTCTATAAAAGTATTAATTGATAATTCCCCATGATATCTCAACCTCATTCAATAATTCATCTAATTGCAGTTGTATGCAATAAGCAATTCTCTTCAGTATTTAGCCATTGTTTCCATATACTTGCAACAAAAACAGACACCAAGGAAAAGATTTTACTTCCTATGTGTGTTCTCATCCCAATCCTAAATCACAAGACTAGTTTCACATGTTCCAAAATAATAATTAAAAAAAAAGTCTTTCAAGCTCAGGGTGACATTAATGATGAAGAAAGTAGGGTTTGAAGTACACAATGCTCATACCAAATAAAGAAGCAAGCAAGCAGCTTACTCCGTAAGGAATAGTACATTACCTGTGCTTCTTGCAAATCACTATGAGCAACAAAAACAGACACCAAGGAAAAGATTTTACTTCCTATGTGTGTTCTCATCCCAATCCTAAATCACAAGACTAGTTTCACATGTTCCAAAATAATAATTAAAAAAAGTCTTTCAAGCTCAGGGTAACATTAATGATGAAGAAAGTAGGGTTTGAAGTACACAATGCTCATACCAAATAAAGAAGCAAGCAAGCAGCTTACTCCGTAAGGAATAGTACATTACCTGTGCTTCTTGCAAATCACTATGGATAGCATCCACTTTGATATCAGTACACACCAGCTCTCTACAAAGCTCTTTAGCACGTTCCATGCTATGCACAAAGATTAAGACTGGTGGATTCAGACTCTGTTTATGGGGAAATAGAGAGATACTATTAGAATAAGAAAATATCAGTACCATTCCTCCGTCAGACTGGTGTAAAGAATGCAAACTAGATATAGAATCTGAAGCAAGCAATATTGAGTGTACCGTTACATAACAAAACCTTGAAATTTATCCAAAGCACTTTGTAATATGACATACTTGCTTACAATGACAATAGAAATATCATAATATAAAAGTCTTATACTAGAATGAATTTTAACTTTTTATTTACAAACAATGCAATAATGTTGACAACATGCCAAAATTACAGCAAGAATAATCCTTTTAAAGTGCATTGACAAAATCTCTTAGTCAATCACAATTTATTTCTATTACATTAACTTAGAACTTAATTCACCTCTAGTTAATCAGAATTACTCCTTCAGTTACTATTTAGTTGACACAGTTTGACCAGCACAGAGTTCTATGCATTTTTATTGACTTTGGTATTTTATTTGTAAAGGTTTGCAGTGAGGTAATTTTTAGTTGTAGTTAGTGGGGTGTGGGGACCATTACTTTTGTTGATGGGAATCGGGCATCAAATTTTTAATTGTTTTCATATAAGTTGGGAAAAAAGTGGGACCCATAACAAGAGACTGAAAATACGAAAAATTAGGGACCATTCCTTTAAAGGAAAGAAGTACAAGTGTGTCAAGCTGTCAACAAAATAGGAATGGCCCTAAGAGAAATGTGTGTCAGCTAATAAAGGATGGAGAGAGATTATCTATGCTTCTAGTATAAGATGAAAAATAACAAATTCAAATTAGCAACAAGTGACTCATAGATTCTACTTCTTAATAAAGCAGGTAGACATCCTTTTTTTGTATATTTAAACTGGAAATATGAACAACATGTCCATTAAATTAAAATTAAATTTTTATAACTTTTACTGATATACATGAAAAAGAAATAAAAAAAAATAAAACATTATATAACAAAGCAATATGTTGAGAAGCATGAAAGTCAAAATGTTGCATGTTATTTATAAACGGAGGAAGTACCAACTAAGGAAAGAATATCAGCGAACAATAAGGGGTTTCTAACAGCAGCAATAACACTACGTCACTTGTTAGAAGCCTACCTCGGCAAAAATCTGACGCAAAGCAAGAAATTTTCCTTCTTCACTTCCAGCAAAAACTAACTTTTGCTTTACTGATGGAGAAGCTGTGTTCCTAATCAAACATCAAAGGCAAATTAGACAGCGTACAATATCAGATAAGAGGAAGGGAAAGATTCACAGAAAAGCAGAACAAAACAAAAACAGAATTCAAGGCCAAAGTCACTCAAAGAACATATATAATATGCAAAGCAGATACACATAACACTCACCAGAAAAGACTAAATATATTAATATTTCAGAGAATTCGAATATGTTGGTTTCTATTGTTTCCAAAGAGCTGTAAGAAAAGATAAAAGTCCTTTGTCAGAGGCAGGAGGAGAGCCTCTACATTGAATTCAATTTACTGGGGAAGGAAGGAAGCATTCTTTTATAGATCTCTAATGAGATCACTTTTTGCTTTTAACATACAGTGGTCTAACCCTTACAAGACACAAAATTATACTTTACAACCCAATACAAAAGAGTTCAGTTGGCAGATTAAAATGATTCAGTTCACAGATTGGCAACCTTAGTAAGATAGGTAAAATGAAGATTAGTAATAGTAAAATAAAATTTGCACATGTGACTTCTATGTTTCTACTAATGGCTACAAAAAGTAAACAAGACTTAGATGCAAACAAATTAACAAGGAAGCATTCAGATGTTATAATCAGAAGAGAAAATAATGAGAGCAGAGTGTGCAAGACACGAGGTAGGTTCACTTATCAAAGGCTCACAAGGGCAAGCTCATTGATACTTTACCAATCAAGTTGACCCCTAAAGTGAAGGACCCTCTCACAATAGTTTTAATCCAGGAGCTTAGGCAAAGTGCGCCCCACCCCTCTTTTTCCTTTCTTATGAGCATATAATCAGGTAAGTCTTCCGTTGCGGTCTTCTACAAAGGTTTTCAGTCAGCTATTTATTACTTCACTCCCATTTTAATTTTTATTTTAGTGCTTCTACAAGAAGCTTGTACTACTATTCTAATTCATGTACTTCTCCATAATACTATAATATTTTCGAAAATGTCACCAATCAAGGTCTTTAAGAAATATTTTTCAACTAGCCTTATCTCATTAAAGATATGAATTAAACTAAGACTCTTCAAAGTTCAAACCTTTCCAAAGACGTGATCTATACTTGCTTTTTTTGCTGTCACCTTACTTCTTTACAAAGCACAAAAGATTACATAGTAATATTCACTTCAAGTTTTCATTTTCAGGAGTATCAAGAATACTTCTCCAATGGAAACAGAAACATGTGTAACATAAACCACTAAAAAACTCATACTTACTTCCTGCCAACAATTATCCGCACAGCATCATGCATCAATGTCCGTGCTAGTTCTTCAACAGAGTCAGGTAAAGTCGCACTAAACAGCATTCTAATCACTGAGGGATTTGAGCAGGCTTTAACAACAAAATCAATCTGCTTCATAAAACCAAGCTCAAACAGCTGATCAGATTCATCAAGAACAAGGAACTCAACCCTGCAGAAAGAAAATTGGGTGGTCATTTTTTTGGGAGGGTGTATTATTTTAAACATAATTTAAGAAGAATGAATATTCTGAAAATGATCTAGGTCAATCAACATACATATGGGATCAATTGATCCAAGACTGTCTGCAAAATTCTTTAGTCTAGATAACCATTTGTGGATGTTAGCAGAATCTAAAAATAAGCCTAGAATTGACAATTCTTGTATTTTTATTTCATCGAAATCCATGTTCAACATTTCAAATAGATATATCAACAGTACAAACTACCAGGTGAATTAAGAGCAAGTAAAACAAACTACGAAATAGTGCTTTAGGAAAACCAGATGCAGGAATGCACCCCAGCAACTTTTCTACCAATATGGTTCTTTTTGTAAACTAGACTAGATAAGCCTTTAATTGTTTAAATTTGATAGCATTGGTAATACATTTCATTAAGTAATGATCTAGTGGTTTGATTTGACTATATTTGCTTTTGTATTTTTCTTTTAGTCAATTTTTTATTTTGTTGATCGAACATATATAATAATGTTGGACTGTTCCTTTGGGTTGAGGTTTTATTTTATTTTTTTTTATCCACTTTAGAATTATATCATGCTTTTTAATACAAAAAATAAAATAGATGTAGCACCAAACTCATAATACTGATGATTATGTCTCCAATCTGACATGGATATCATACTACTATAATGGCTCCATTCCAAAAAGCCCAATCAAAAACCAATGTGGGTGGTCTGGGTGAATTTTTTTTTCCCACAACCTCGAGGGAATTTTTTTTTTATGAATGTATCCAAAGGGGACCCTCCCTAGGATTTGTACTAAACTTTAGATCTACTAAGCCTTTTTGTATTGATCATTTGTTGCAATTGACTTAGGTGCACCTAGGTGCAAAGGCTCCTTTGAGCTTTAAAATTTATTCTGATTCTTAAAAAACTAAAAAACTATTACAATTAACAGAGGAAAGTTTCTCTGATTTGGTTCATAAATTCTGGGTATTTTTGTCCTTTTAGACATTTTCAACTCATTTTCCCTTGTCAGCCCTTGTGTTAGAATACAACTCCTTTTGATGTATTAGATTCCCTTTAGATGCTTTCCTAGAGTTTAGTTTATGTTTTCTTAACTTGAGATCCCATTATTATGTTACTGTCAGTTCAGTGTTCACTAGGGATTCTCTTTGTATGTCATTTAAAGCTCTATAGAGGGTGAATGATTAATGAAATCTTAAGCCTTCTATCAAGTGTAGCTTTGCTTTTATGCTTGTTTGTTGTTAGACCTTTATAGATATTGTGTCTTACTTGCATAATAGCTCCCCTCCCATCCAACTTGATGCATTAAGAACTCGTGGTTCGGACCCGCTTGTGCCCGCCTTGAAGTATCGGCCATCACAAGCCCCGACCACCCGCATTCCGTCGCCCAAATAGACGTGAGTGCTCCTTTGATTTAATTGCCCGCTTGTGTTGCTTTGTGCTCACAAGCCCCTCTTCCGCTCAAGGCTAGCGTTCTTGCCGCCAAAAGGCTAGAGCGCGCCGCACGTTTCGGGGTCCAAACTCCCGGACCGTGACACCTTGGCACTAAGTGCAAGGGGTCTTAGGTGAGGTTGGAACAGTACGGTCGTGTTCTTTTGAGCTTCTGGCAGGCAGATTTCAGCACATCAGATCAGATTGAAGCAGAGCATTACTATTATTTTTTATTATTAATATTATTACTATTATTAAATATTGTTTAATTATTACTTTTATTATTATTAAATAAAATTAAAAATTATTATTATCTTTAAATATTACTCCGTAGTTATTATCTTTCAATATTAATTTTTATTATAAAAAATCAATTATTATTATTAGGCAAATTTGTAAAAAAAAAAAAAAAAAAAAAAAAAAAAAAAAAAAAAAATCTTTTAGATGCACTATTTTGTGAAAAAAGAATCTTTTAAAAGCTTTTTCGTAAAAGAAAACCCAAAGTTAATTTTTTTTTGCTTAAAACAACCTAGTCCTACTAATACACCTAAATTAGCCTCTAATCTCTTCTAATTAACCTTTAATCCACATTTTACTACTTAATAATTAAATTAGTTTAAAAAAAATTTTAAAAAAAAGCGCTCACCCCCACCTGCCCACCACCAGCCATCCAGCCACCCCTCCCTCTCCTTTTCCCCCTCCCTTGACAGCAGCCTAGGTTGCACTGATACGGATACGGGGACGGGATACGGCAAATTTTTTTTTTCAAAAAACGGGTACGGCTTGGATACGGCAAAAAAAAAATCAGTAAAATATAAATCCATTAAAAAAAACAATTAAAAAAGAAAACAAAACACTTAATGTTCAGCAATAACATAGGGTACTGCACAATGTAAAAAAATAAAAAAAAAATAATCACCTACTGACATTCTCAATTTATGTCACTATAATTCACTATAATATCAACAACACATAAAAACAATTAAAAAAGAAAACAAAACACTTATAGAAGAAAGAAAGAAGAGAGTAAGAAGAAAGAAAGAAGAGAGTCAGAAGCCTCGCAGGTGGGTCTCCGGCGAAGAAGAAGGTGGGTCTCCGGCGCCGCCTTGAACCAAGCGTCGACTGTCGCAGCCTCCAGGTGAGTCTCCGGTCGCCGCCGTCAATCAAATCGCACAGGGAAGAAGAAGATGAAGGAGTTCGAAATTTTAGGGTTTGTGAGAATTGGGGGAAATCGACTTTGAGGTAAGTTTTGTTTTGATTTGGGTTTCTTTTAAAAAAAAAATTGGGCTGGCTTCTTGGGTAAGGCAGAATTTGGGATTTCCCATACCCGAAACGTTTCCGATCATGACCCTAGCCGTCCCCTAAATGACTTGCCGTACAACTTTTGATGGGGACAGATTGGGGACGTATCCTAGCCGTCCCCGTCGCGTACCCGTCCCCAATACGTTTCGGGTGCGGGAGACGGCAACCCAGCGGCGTACCCGTGCATCATTGTCAGCACCCCCCTCCCCCATTTGAGCCGCTGGCATGAACCCATACCGTAGGCCCGACGACCCACATCCCTTACCCCCTCCTTTCTTCTTCATCAATTCCTCCAAAAGTTCCTAGTTTCATCTTTCTCTCTCCTAGCTCAATCATGGTTATCAATGGCTTCTCCATCTAAATTTCCTTAAATTATCTCACAAAAACCCTAATTTATCAATTCAAGACTTTAATTTCACCTTGAAATTTCTATCTCCTCCTTCCACAGGAAAAGGAGGGCCCTTGCGGAAGCTTTGACCGCCCCAACTTCTTTCGAGAGAAACCTCTGATTATTGTTCTCGGCCTTCTTTGAACACAATGTTGTATTTCGAGAATTCGTGGTCGAGTTGATGTTTCTGGGTGTGGGAATTTTTGTGGTGGGATGGCGATGGGAGTGAGGCGGTTTCTTGTGGTGGTTGACGACGGGAGTAGGCTAGCTGGTAGTTGGTAGTAGGTTGTGGGTGGGGTGGTTTTCGTGGTTGGCTTGGATGGGGGCTATGATTCTGATGGCTTAGTCAGTGGTGGGGCTGCTCCTAGGGGAGGGGGAAAGGGAGTGGGTGAGTGCTGGTGGTAGAGATTGTGGTTTGTGTTTTTTTTTATTTAATTATAAACTAATTTTATTATTAAATAGTTAGAAAGTAATTAGAAGTAATTAGTGGTTAATCAGGTGAATTAGAGGTATCAAATTGTCTTCAACAAAAATTAAATGTGTTTGGGTTTTCTTTTACAAAATAGTTTTTAAAAGGTTATTTTTGCAAACAGTGCATTTAAAAGGTTTTTTTTTGACAAATTATTATTATTATTATTATTTTTATTATTATTATTATTATTATTATTATTACTATTATTATTAACGTTATAATTATTAAATATTAATTATTTATTGTTATTATTATAATTATTATTATTAAATATTTATTATTATTATTATTATTATTATTCAATATTAATTATTTATTATTATAATACAATATTAATTATTTATTATTATTATTAAATATTAATTATTTATTATTATTATTAAAATTAATTATTATTATTATAATAGTTCAATTTTAAGTATTATTTTTAAGCACAGCAGAGCAGATTACAATAGAGCAAAGCAGCTCTAAAGAACTGAGCCTACCTCTTGCAAGGCGTGAGTTTCACAATCAAATACATACCTCATCCCCAGATCATCTAAAATCAGCCTTCAATGTAATGTACACATACCTGCTTAAATCAAGCTTCCTTTTACGAATTGCAAATTCTAAGCGAAGTGGCGTTGAGATAAGTATATCACAAGGCACTTTTGAGAAATCAGCACTTCTGGAAAGCTCTTTAGTCATTAATTTTATATAAAAGTTCTTTCCTTGAGCAAGTTTCTTGCTTTCTCTAGCCGTCTGAGCTGCTAGTTCACGAGTAGGGCAAAGAACAACAGCACGAACACGATCTTTTAACCCATGCTGCTTATTCAAATAGAAGACATTCACATTATTTTCTATCACAAATCACCATACTATCCACATATGTGAGATGAAACACAGGAGGCATACCTTAAGTTTCATTAATATAGGACAAATGAATGCCAAAGTTTTTCCAGAGCCAGTGGGCGCACAAGCAAAACATTCACGTCCCTGCAGAAATATTCAGTTAACAGCATGCAACTCATAAATTTTTGTTTTCCTTTTTACAAAAAAGTGGATTACACTGAAAATCAACAAAAGTAACAAGAATCAAAAGAATAGAAGACACAGAAACCAAGATGACAGCATGGATAGATTGAAAAGAAGGCATACGGATAGAAGGACTGGAATAGCCTGCCTTTGAATTGGAGTGGGCTCCTTGTATCCGAGTTCCGCTAAATTTCGTAGCAAATAGGGTTTGCATCCGTATCTATTCAAGAAACAAAGAACGGTTATAATCTCAAACTAGACCCCAAATTTAGAATATCACTTCCTCTACTGCTTTGTTTTGCTTTTATCTTTACATTTCTTACCTGTCAGGCAAAGGTTAAGAGGCTATAAAGGTTAAGAAAGAAAACTGAAAAGAGAAGTGGCCAGTTTATTAAAAAGTTTAACCCAAAACCAATCCAAGTGAGGGACAAATTCCCATTACCACCCTTGAGTAGAAAAATATAAAATAAGCCACCCCTAAGTTCAATTTCTCCTACTCAAAAAGTCAAAACCACTCAATAATGGGTTTCACCCAAAATTGTTAGTTTGAATGTCATTCATAGTCAACCTGTTAAACGGTGGCTTTGGGTAGATGGAATAGTTGTCACTAATTATTATTTTTTAAAAAAAATATATATGGGTTAGGGGTGATTTGGGTAATAGAGACCTCATGAGGAAACTCATTTTACCTCACGAGATGAGATATACTTGTGAGGAAAACATTTTCCCCACAGATAGAAGTTGGTGAAGAACTTTTTTTCCTCACAAGGAAAAGTTCTTCATCGGTAGGAGTGCTCTAAATGTAACAACATGACAGTCATGCCTGGTAAAGAGAATGCATTACAAGAATTCTGCTTTAATTGCAGACACAAAACTTACAATAATGTGCGAAAATGAACAGGTAAATCATACTTCTTCCATTCCTTATTAATCGACTTGTTTTTACTTGAGCACTAATAGGTGACTTTGACTTCCTTTGAGATTTTTTGAAAAATATGCAGAGTTGTATGATACGTCTCAATGCATCTATTTAGAATATTAACTAATTATATAATCTGCCTATTGATAATTAAAGATATTAATTACTGAAATCGTGCATTGGCAAACATGCCAGTGTCAACTAATATGAAACGGAGAAAATATATCATTCACAATTGCAATTTTATTGGGGTTTTTGCATCCTAGATTTTTTCTTGCTGCAGCCATAATGTGATGTAAATTTTGAAGCAAATTAGATACATTTGCACGAGGATCTCACACAAAGAAACTCCTTCAGTAACTATGATTCGACTTTTAGACCTTCAAAATAAAAATTCTTAAATGGATACATGAAAACTGCAGCACATGGCTGCATAAAGAAAATAGAAAAAACCACATGATGCTTATAATCATCACCATAGATGAACATACTCCAAAAACGGTGGCAAGAATCGAGAAAATGGCCCTAGTGTACAGATTTTTGTGGTTCAGTCCCATGATAAATAAGATTCAAATCAAAGTGACATGAATATCAAATTTTACTGGCAGACAAAATTCATAATTCCAAAATTAGTTCTATATAATTCAAACAACGCATTGAAATTCATGAACAAAATAATTAAAATCAGAGCTGAAACAGGAAACTAGATTTTCATAAATAAGTAACATGTGGTTCATAAGTTGCAAATCAAATACTCACCTAGTACTAAGCTCCTTAAAGCTTTGGAGAGGAGATGGAACATTACTCCCAGAAATATGAATTTTATGATCTTTCCGCAGAAGTGCATCACGCTGTAAGTTACAGAAACATTGATACCAGGGTTCAGCAAGTATATTTAACATAGTTATGTCAGCAGTAGCACTAGGCAAAACTCTAGAGATGGCAACATTATATTAGAGTTGAGAACTAATCAAATAGCATGCTTGTATGAATCGGGAAAGCAACATTAGAACAAAATAAGACCTGAAGCTGCTGGAAAAATTCCTTCTTTTCAGAAGGCGTCTCCTCTTCCTCGTCATTTAGTTCAGTTTCATTAACTGCACTGGCACTCTTATTAAAGACACTAAATCCCTCCACTGATCCTGAACCAAACAATTAAAAAAATGCAACAAAAGTAATTAGCAAATTTGGGTTTCAATCAAAGACTCAAATCACCAAGCTGACGTACAAAAATGTTACCTCCAGTTCCCTTTCTTTTTCTCTTTCTAATGGACTTTTTTCCTACTTCTGCTTCATTTTTAGCATCGTCAACAAAATCCAGATCCACTTCCAAAGCTTTGTTTTCTTTATACCCCTAGTTATAGAGAAAAAAAATTATTTAAAATAAGAAAGGAACAAAACACAAAGATATGGAATGGCAATCACCATTGCATCGGATATTCCGAATTATTGCAGTTTTCCCATTTCTCAATCCATCAATAGATCAAGTGAGTATCTCATTAAATTTGATTTTGTATCATGTGTAAACAAAATAGAAAAATTTGCCAAAAATAATACGATCTTTCAGCGGTCTTCCAAGAATGGAATGACCTTTGAATTATTTCAAAATGGAACGACCTTTGATATACATTTGCCGAAAATAGACCAAAAAAACCTGTAACTTGTTTCACAGGTTACTTTGGACACGTGTCACATTTGTGATTGGTTAAAACTTTATTTATTTTATTTTAACATTTTTCTTTTAATAATATGATATAAAAAATAAAACTTAAATTATATATAAAAAAAAAAATGGAAAAAAAACAAATCCCTCCCCCTTCCCGGCAGCCACCCACCACCACCTGCTATCCCCATCCCTTAACCCGCTGGTGGCCAGAGCCTATACCTGGTGTCAGATCCCGACTCCGACCACCCATCCACTCCCCTTGAACCACCACCCGAAAATTCAATGAGCCTAAATCCACCACTCAATTTTAAGGTTTTCGAGTGGTGGTTTAGGGGAGGAATGGATTGGAGATGGGCAAATGTGTATCAGGCCGCCAGGTAGAGGGATCAGGCCGCCGGCCGGGGGTGGAGAGGGGGAGAGCAGATGGCGGTTGAGTGGCTGCTAGGGGGAGGGTTTTTTTTAAAAAAAAAATTAGTTTTCTTATTTAGTTTTTAAGTAATTTTTTATTTTAAATTTTAAAAAAAAAAATTGTTAAAAAAATTAACCAACGACATTGTGACACGTGTCACTGGTAACCTTCTAAACAGGTTCCACCAAGTCACGTTCTATTTATGGCAAATGTGTATCAAAGGTCGTTCCATTTTGAAATAATCCAAAGTTCGTTTTATTTATGGAAAACCGCTTTTGAAATAATTCAAAGGTCGTTCTATTTATGGAAAACCGCTGAAAGGTTGTATTATTCTTGACAAATTTTCCAACAAAATACTAAAAATAGTAGAATATTGAAGGCATGTTACAATCTACTCCCTACTGCTTAATTTCTGTCAAAACTACACAGACAAATCTGAGCAGCAGTTCACCTATCAATTTCACAGATTGAAGAAAAACCCAATTAAATGAGCAATGAAAAACTACACAGAGCATAAATTAATAAGGAAAATTGGTACTCCATATAAAGTAATTCCCTTGAACTGTTGTTCATCCATCAATTTCATACAATATAATTGAACATTAAAAAGTATAATGAGCAAATATTAACAAAATTAAGAACAAAAAAAAAAAGTATAATGGAATACCTTGAACTTCTGGAAATCTTTGGCAAACTTTATTTTGTCAAATTTAAGGCCTGCAAATAGGAAGGAGGTATCTTCCATTGTAATCTAAGCTCAAATTTATATTCTTCTCCAATTTGATCAACCCTTTTCGATTAGAATAAACAAAATAATCAAAATTTTGTCAAAAAATCGAACCTAATAGCTTAAATTTAGTGAATTAACACAAACCCATTACAATTAAAAAACTTTAAACCGCAAATTTAAATTTGTTATCTCCTCTGGAAGACCAAAGATGGACAAAAGGAGGAAAACAAAACCACTGGTCGGGTGGTCGGAGAAAATATTACTAGGGTTTATGCATTTGGTGTTTGGTTCAATTTTTTTTTTTTTTTTTTGGATGGTTTAATACTTTTCATTATAAGACCTAATATATAAATCTATAGTACTCCCTCCGTTTTTTAATACTTGTTCCATTTCTATTTCTTGATTTATTCATTTGTTACTTGTTGGAATAGATTATTAATTTTCAATTATTAGAATTTATACTTATTGATAATTAAAGATATAAATGATCAAAGATTAGCATCAACATGCGTGTCCAAAAGAAATGGAGCAAGTATTTAAAAACGGATGGAGTAATATATATAAAGTGAAAGGAGGTTTTGGGTGATAAATTTTACTTTCCCAAAATACTCCTCATTAAAAAAATTACCATCCTTTGTAAAAAAAATGTAACTATTATCTTAAAAAAACTACCATCTTTAGTTAAAATAAATAAATAAATAAATACCTCCGTTATTTTTTTAAAAAAATATTTTTCAAGAAAAAAATCAGAATACGTAGTATATTATTTAGCCTACAATGACATCATCAACGTATATAATTTTTATTATATTTTATCAATAATTCTTAAACCTACTAATAATTTTTTTAAAAAAAAATAATTATGCGATAATATTGTTGAAAAAAAATCGAGCTTGGTAGATTACTTATATTGCACACGCACGCATTGTGCGCGTCTCTTAGCTTGTATTATTAAAGTAACAACCGCTAACGTCATCACTACTTATGTGTCACTCTCTTATTTAATTTTTTCCCGCAAAAATGTACGGATGATGTCATTTTTTTTTCCCTTTTTAAGCTACCTATTTAACATTGTTTTGAAAATTAAATTCAATTTAAATTTTAAGTTTTTTTTACGCATATTATGCTATTTTATTATTTACAAGTAGTTGTTATAAGTAGTTAATAATATAGTTCAATTAATTCTAAAAAATAATATGAAAAAAATGAATTTTTGGAAATTGTATTTTCGTATTTAATTAGAAAGTATTACTCCGTAAAGAGAAAGTAGTTGTTTTATCTTAATATGTGCTAAAGAATCTATAATTCATTTCTTATTTTAAAACTGTGCATCGCACGGGGCTAATCTAGTAGCCTATTAAGAAAGGAAAATATTGTTTATACCCCTTAGGGCTACATATAAGCATTAAATTTACACTTGAAAATCATAAAAAGTTTAAAAAATTCATCACGATAATGGGCTCCTATTGACTAAAGGTTGCTTCTTCGGTTTCCTTTAGAATGAAAGTAGCTTATGCTACCTTACTAATCTAAGCCTTTTGAAGTGCCACTAGTTGTAGCTGTGGGTAGGTGTAGGGAATATATTTCAAGCTTTAATCCCACTAGCTTGAACCCCACTGTGATCATACACTAAAGTACGGTGGCGTCCAAAAGGGAAGAAGATAGAGCAAAACAGTCGCCAATAAGTTTTTAAGGAACTTGTAAACCGTTCACGAGGTGAAGGTTACACCCCTTAACGGTCCAAGAGATCGTCAACTCCATAAGGTCATGAACCAAATAAGGGTTCGGGGATGAAGGTACAAATCCAACCTAAAAAAGATTGAACCTGCCCTAATAATAGGCCTCTATTTTATTCTGATCGTATTCATGTGCGCTTTTTAATTAACATGCAATCATTAGGATTAACCCTAAACCTGTTTATCTATGTTGGTGAATTTAATGCACAAATAAATCTATTATTTGCGATCACTTGAAATTATAATCATAATTAACCCTAACAAGATTAATAATTATCTTATTAAGCGTGATTACAAGTACAAATTCCCTTTAAACATGCATAAAAGGCGTGATCAAACAATAATTATAAATAAACATCAAGCAACATAATAATAATCATAACAATAATTATAATTATAATAACAATAAATATCATCATCATAAGAATAAATTATAATTGAAATAATCATGATAATAATCATAAAATAAAATAATCATCATCAAAATAATAATAATAATAATATTCATAATAACAATTATAAATTATAACAATTATAATCATAATCAAAACAATTATAAAAATAATCATAAATCATGTTAAAGCATAATAAAAATAGCAAGATGCTAGGCATGATACTAACAAGATTAATAACAAACCCTAGCATGTCACTAAGCAATAAAAATCAAATCTTTAATCCTAACATGATACTAACAATCATAAATATTAGGAAGAATATAGGAAGCATCGCAGGAATCATATTTAATATTAAAATTACCCTAGACATGATACTAGGAATATCATAATAACAATATAAACATGATGTCTACATCATAACATCAATAAAAACCATTAAAGTACTTACTTTGATGCCTCGTACCTCTTTCTAATAACAAAATACACACGTTAGTAACTTCAAGGAAAATAATAAACAAACAATCAAATTAAATAATTGAAATAGAGATTTGGGACCAAACCCTCAGAAATTAAACGTTTTCACGTCTAGGGCGAAGGCAACTTCGAATATGGCTAGGTGTTTCTAGATCTTGTGAATGCGTAATTTTGTATGAAAGGAAAAGTTTAGAAAAGAGAGAGAATTGATGAATGCTAATTAAAACTGATTGTAGATGAGTGTAGATGAGAATTGATGATGAATGAACGTATGATTGCGAATGAAAACTGATTGTAGGTGAATGAAAACGGAGTTTTTAATACGATATTTATAGAGAAAATTAGCCAAAAAGATAAATTAAACAAAACAGAGTCTGACTCACAAAAAACAGAGCTGGCACCAACCCTGGCTAGCTGGCGCCAGGCGCCAATGGCTAGCGCCAGGCCTGGTTCCAGGCGCCAAGGCCTGGGGTTAGGCGCCAAGCCTAATTTTAGCGCGTTTTCGAAAATCCGATAAGTTTGCCGTACTGGAGGATAAAATCATATAATTTCCTCGAAAATGCTATTTGATTTTGATTAAAACTCTGAAAAGTCAACAAAAGTCAATTTATCAATGCTAATTGAATTAGGAATGAAAAGAACCTTCTAGAAGAATCTAGAGGACTAAAACCATTCCTAATTGCATTAGGAATGATAAATCATATTAGGCCCTCCCCTAGATCATTGGGCCGTACATAAAGCTCGAACCGGGCCCAGTTTAGTAAATTGGCCATAACTTCCTCAATATTCATCGGAATTGGGCTTATAATATATCGATGGAAAGCTCTTTTCAATCCCTATCCAACTACACTACCATTGGACCCATATTATGGACCAACCAAACTGGATTGACTGTTTTCTTAAAAATAAGTTTTCAAAAACAGAGAGAAGAGAAAAGAAAATAAAACTTTCCGCAACACTAGACTTTCCACACTTTCACTTCATTCGATTATGATTCGACACGAAAGGTACTCATCACTGGGTTTGGTTTTGGGGAGACACAAATGGGTGTCTACAGTAGGGCTTTCTTTCTTATCGCTCGAGGTTCCGAGGGCCAATACATATAAGCTTGGGCTTTTTTAACGCGACCCATTTGTTGACGACTCAGTACACTATTAAGACTTGCCGAGTAGTCATCCGATACGACGGATGGCTGACCCCTAAAAGAAGAGGAGGCGGGCGCTCATTCCCTGTTTGATCTCTTTCATCCCTACCCTGCTCGTTGGCACCTATACCCTATCTTACCGATGTCCTACGACTCTTGTAAAAACAAGAGATTGAGACGCTCTTAGCTCCTGACAAGAGAGCGATCAGCAATCAAAGTTGCTTTGAGGCTAACTTTGACCAGAATGCTCTTTGTCTAAGGGGTGGATCCAGGGTGAAGACTTTAGAAAAAAGCTCACAATTCTCAATATAGTGTTAATCAAACTATGAACCTTACTTTTCTATCCTCCTTCCTCGGATTCAATATCTACCGCGAATCCTTATCATGGCATCTATCAAAGGTAGCTAAATCCCTTACAACCTCGAGAACTGGAAAAAAGGAGGGTGACATGCACTGACCCCTAATCTCTATATCACTGAGGTCGAGTGCCACCTTTCCCTGCCCGAGAATCTCCATATGCTCTTTGTGTGCGAGCAATTGCATTGCCTGCTTATCAATTTTTGAACCATGGAATTTTCTTCCGGAGCTACGGAACTAACGACTCTATTAGAACCTCAACTTATTGAGACAAACAAATTCTCAGCTTAGTCCCTTAAAGAGGAAGCTTAGTTCTTTCAAGCTTATAAGGAAACTCTCAAGTATAGTTTTTTTTTTTTTTTTTTTTTTTTTTTTTTTTTTTTTTTTTTTTGGGGTGGGGGGAGGGGGGAAGGGGGAGGAGCCCAACAGGGCCCCCCCACTGACTTGGCTCGGACATTCTTCCTTTTTGAAGACAGAGCACTCGTGGCACACACGCTTCTTTTATTTAGTGGGAGAAGTAAAAGATTACTTCGCTCCCCAAGCCACCTACCTACTCGTGCTCGTAGCTCCCAGGAAAATTAAGTATATAGCCTAAAAAGACTTGTTTTTATTCTATTTATTAGAACCATTTATTTTTGCCGTGTTGTAACGGAAACACGACCCGAATCCGCCCCAGTGGGCATCATCCAATTATCTTTTTGGCTTGCCTTGTTTAGACTGTTAGAGAAGAATTTAGACCTATCGGTAACCGGCATAAATAAAGGTGACTCAACTTCTAAACTAGAGTATCGTCTTCATGATTTCGTGCTGTGGTGAACTAAAACCGGACTCTTTCTTCCCTCTCGATTCCATCGTTGAATGAATTGTTCGATATTTTACGTGTGAGGCAATGCTTGGAGCGATACATGCAATTGCTCAGTCACCTTGTACTTTATGTTTGCTTGTCATATGAGCATCGCGTATGCTCTATTTCTTGATATGTTTGCCGGTGCATATGACAAGCTTTTGCGTTCTTTGTCGGGTTATTTACTAGATTGGTCATGCTTGGACGTTAAGCAAGCCTTTCTCGGGAAGTAACCCGTGTTTTATTGCTTTCATTTTCTTTTCTTTTTAGATTAGATTTTCTCTCATGGACGTGTTTGTGTTCCTTGCTAGGTACACAACTTGATATACTCTTGTGCATTGGTGATGATCAATAATCAAGGAAATGTGCCTCAACTTACCTATCATGTGGAGTTCAAGCCTTATTTGTAGAGATTGTGGATCCTATGAGGTTATTTCGGGTTTTTGTGTGATTTTGCATTTTCCCCATATCCGGTAATATCCTTCTTTTTCCTCTCTCTTACTCATTATGACTTGAAGATCATGTGTTGGTAATGTTGGATTAATTTCTCCTTGTTTTCCCCT